AGAGCTCTGCCTCCTGAGTAGCTAGGATTACAGGCATGAGTCATTGATGCCTGGCTCCTTTTGGAAATTTTTTTTTTCTTTGTCAATTGTGGGGCCTGAACTCTAGGCCTGGGCGCGCTGTCCCACAGCCCTTCAGCTCAAGACAAGTACTCCACCTCTTGAGCCACAGAGCCATTTCTGGTTTTCGTGGTGGTTTATTGGAGATGAGAGTCTCACAGACTTTCCTGCCCAGGCTAGCTTTTAACTGTGATCCTCAGATCTCAGCCTCCTTAGTAGATTGGATTACAGGCGTGAGCCACCATTGCCCAGCCTTTTTGAAATTTTTGTCTATCTTGCCTGGATTTCTTTTCTTTTCTTTTCTTTTGTTGTTGGTTTTGGGGCTTGAACTCAGGGCCTAGGTGCTGGCCCTGAGCTATTTTGCTCAAAGTTAGTGCTCTGCCACTTTCAGCCACACCTCTACTTTGCTTGGTATTTAAAACAGTAGTGGGTTTGGGCCTTTTTTTTTTTTTGAATGAGTGAATGAATTATAACTACCTTAATCTTTTAGATTTCTATGACTCTTGGATATTTATGGTATATATACCCTTCCTCAATCTCTTTTTTCCCCCCTTTCTCTCAATCTCTCTTTCTGTCTCTTGACACATTCTCTCTCTCTCTCTCTCTCTCTCTCTCTTTCTGGCAGTATTGGTGTTTGAACTCAGGACTTCACATTTGCTCAGCTTGCTTCTTCAGCCCTGCACTTTACTGGTTATTTCTGGAGATGAAATCAAACAGAGTTTTCTGACCAGGCTATCCTTGAACTTTTCTTCATATCTCAGTTGCCCAAGGAGCAAGGATTACAAATGTGAATCACTAGCACTAGATTCCTTCTCAATTTTTATGCCTAATAACATAATAACATCTACCTTTTTGTCCCTTGGTTATGTTTATACATGGTTTTTAATCCTTAGAATTGGCCCCCTATCCTGGGGCTTGAACTCTGGGCCAGGGCACTGTGCCTCAGCTCTTCAGCTCAAGGAGAGCACTCTACCACTTGAGCCATCGCATCACTTCCCATTCTCTGATGAGCCACCAGAGATAGATAGATAGATATATCTGTGCATACTGAGAGACAATCTATTTGTTAACTTGCATAGTGACTATTTTAGGATCTACGCTGGCTCAGGCAAAATTATTCAATGTAGGTATTTTGAAATTATCTTTTATTTAAAAAATGGTTTCTAAACCTTGGGTTTTCTTCTCTTCCTAGGGTTCAGGTAATTTTCTATTTGGGATAAATCCTAATTTTTATCATTTATGCATTTTGGATCCTTTATAAACTTTTGCCTGTGGGACAGCCTTTTTTCCTCCTGTTCCTCATAGAAACTAGCATTTTTGTTGGTTTTATGGTTGTTGTTTTATGCCAGTACTAGGGCTTAAACTCAGGGTCTAGGTCCTGCCCCTGAGCTTTTTTCCTCAAGACTAACACTCTACCATTTGAGCCACAGCTCTACTTCCTGGCTTTTTGGGGGTTACTTGCAGATTAGAGTCTCAGGACAGCCAGGCGTCAGTGGCTCATGCCTGTAATCCTAGCTCCTCAGGAGGCTGAGATCTAAGGATTGTGGTTCAAAGCCAGCCTGGGCAGGAAAGTCCATGAGACTCTTATCTCCAATAAACCACTCAGAAAACTGGAAGTGGTGCTGTGGCTCAAGTGGTAGAGCACTAGCCTTGAACTGAAGAGCTGAGGGACAGTGTTCAGACCCAGAGTTCAAGCACCATGACCGACAAAAAAAATAAAGTCATAGGACTTTCTTGCCCTGGCTAGTTTTGAACTTCAATCCTCAGATCTCAGTCTCTCGAGTACTTAAGATTACAAATGTGAGCCACCAGCATATGGCTAGGACAACCTTTTAATACATATGTTTTTCCTTTCTAAGATTCTGGCTTGAAAGCATTTCACTCACCCTTGGCAATGCCTCTAAATGTGTGTATCCCTCTGCTGTCATGTAATAATTCTTTAAAATGCTTGTATTTCATCCTGAAGAATAGATCAAGAAGATGACACACTGCAGGTGCCATACACAGATGATCTCCTTGTCAAGTAGAGTTACAAATGAGATAGTAGTTAAATTCTAGTGAGTGGCAGCATACTTAAGTTTTCACCTTTTGTCTTTTACCTGTTTATAGTACAGACATATGTTGCTTTTTGTTTTAGAGAAAGTATCAATTTGACCTCTCTGATAATTAAAAATTGGCGTATCAGAAATAACCAACAGCATTCTTTGTATGTAACAATTGGTGCAGTAGACAGAGAATGAAGGCAAATTTAATTTTAAAAGAAAAAATATTAGCTGTAATTTTATTTTAATAGATCATTTTTGTTGTTATATATTTAAATTTTTTTTGAATGGTAGAAATAACAAGGGACAAGCAAATGAGGGGATAATTTAAGAATAACTGTAGCACTGAAGAAAGATTGCCTTCTTCCTCCCATTGTGATCCCCTTTGGTGAAAATGGTAAAACAAAGGCCAGCAAATTGGGAAGGAAGCAGGAAATCCTAGTTAGTGGGCTATCAGTTAGATTTTAATGCTTTTTTTCTCCCAGTTTTATTTTTTTCCTTTAGAAAGACATGACTTTTCATCTCAAGTTTCTAGTAAGGATTCCATTAAATAAAATTTGAAAGCCATGTATTGTGATGTGATTGTGCAAAGACACATTAATATTTGAATTTTGTGGTTGGAGGAAACGGTTCCAGAATTTATTTAATTACTCCATACGCCAGTCCTAATACTTTTCCCTCAACCCCTCTTTTTTTCAGCCGGGACCCTTTTCTTCCTGTAAATCAGTAGAAAAATGAGAAAATTTAACCTCAGATAGTAGAACCAAGATAAAAGGGAGGAATTCTACCTGGTTCTTATGTAATGTGTACTTCTACCCTTGCAAGTTTACTTCCTGGTTCAAAATATGCCTAAAAATCTTTTTGAAATAAAATTCTCATTTTGCGATTATGTTAGGAATACAAGTTTTGGACTAGGAAGTGAAATAATCTCTAGCATAGCAGTTAGGAATTTTTCCAGAGATGAATTGCCTTGCAAAGATGATCTGAATTTTCAGCCATAATGGCCTTGGTCTTTATATTTATTTGCTTTTATTTACTCATATTTATTTTTTGTGCTATGCTGTGCTTCCAAAAAGCGCTAAAACACATTGTGTATTTAAAACAAACAAGCAAACAAACCAGAAAACCTCCTTGTCCTGGGGCTGTGTGAGGAAGAATGAAGCTCTCATTTCCCAGTACCCAATCATCAGCTTGAGTTGGGCTCTCCTAGGAACAGAATTTATTGAAGCAATTTATCCTGGCTAAATGTGATATAAATCTGTGTACACGTATGTACATACCGGGTCTCTTCCATTACAGCAATGCTGTAGCATTAGTTTTCTTCATAGTTAGACCATGTTCCTATCACATTGAAAGATGACCACAAAGCCCCTTCTATTTTATAGGGCACCCCACAATTTTAAACACCGATTAGTTGTGGAATTACTGATTAGACAACCAGAAATATTGGTTTCTAACCCGAGTGAGCCCTAGGAGAGTAGGAGAGATGTTACCTAGCTACTCTCTGCTTTTAAGCCTGGCTTTCCAGTTACCAGATTTATTCCAGCATGTTAACATTTTATTTTATGACGACCTGACTGAGATTGACCTGACATTTCAGTTTATCTCCAAGATAAAATTTGAAATTTGGTTATAGTTCTGGAGTCATTTCCAGACATTTTCAAATGATTGTTCCTCTCATCTTCCCTTGTCTGAACTCATCATATTCTCCTCTTGGTCACCTTTTGTATGCTTTTATCTTTTTTTTTAAGAATATTTGTAAATGTCCTTTAGGCATAGCTTTAAGACTGCTTTTCTCCCTACCTTTTCAAAGTACAGTTTATTGTTTAAGAATTTTTTTTACTGTAATTTACATTTCTAATCCTTCATCATTTTTATTTCTAGTTGGAATAGGAGACATTTTTCCCACATGTTCAAATTGGAATTGTTTTTTACAAAGAATTTTGATCAGCATTTCAAGAGTTTAGCTTCAGTAATTAAAACAAAAACAAAAACAGCATAAATGCTGTTGAATTCTTCTGAGAAATGGAGGGGCTAGATGGTGGTGCCTTTAAGTGCCATTTCTTTCATCCCCTGCAGCAGCACACATCTGTTGGCTGCACAGAGCAGCCCAAGAACTCTGGCCGGCCGAGAGCAACACAAACAGCCGGAACATATTCACCCAGTAAACCCCCAAAGAGTCGACATTTGTTTTATTGCTGCTTTTAAAAACCTAGCCATAAATATAATCAGGGTGGGGGGGGGCACCAATATTTCTCCATTTGCCACAGACAATTGGTGTGGGGGGTGTGGAGGAGGCTCCCAGTGGGGAGAGAAGGTTTTTATTTTTATTTTTTTATTAATGAAAATCATTTCCCTTGTAGCCCAATAGGATGGGTGCTTTGTTTTCTTTGGCAATAATCTGGGATAAATGACCCTTGCCAACAGTCTCGTAGTTTATACACCAGGGAGCCAGATTATAGCCCTGTAAAATGGAGCACCCCTCCTATAATCCCTTAATTAATTAAATGACAAATTTTGGTCTTCTCTAGTTCAGAAATATGGCTTCCACATCGAGCGTTCTGAGGATTTATTGACATAGAGAACTGCACTGGTTGTAATTCAGCAGAGTGGAGAAGTGTGTTATATACTGGTAGCAGAAAGGCAAAAATCTAGCAAAGAGTTGAAATTTGTGAACTATTTTAAGTCTAAGTTTTTCTAATTAAAAGTTAAAATTGTGACACAGTAGGTCATATGCCACCTGTCTAATGGGTCTCCCCAAAGTAGCCTGTGATAAACACAGCTTTGATAGATGGCATTCTTGAAACACCTGTTTCTAGGCTTGATATTTTTGAAGCACATTTTTTTTTTTTTGCTCCACTGTATTTAACATAACTTTTCCCCTACCTCCCCCCTCCTCAGCTCCGCTCTGCTATATGAAATATGGGAGACGACAGACCGTTTGTGTGCAATGCCCCAGGCTGTGGACAGGTACGTTTACAATATACTTTATTGTGAATGTCTCGTTGTGAATCAAAGTGGCTGTTTTATCACTAAGGCAAAGAGTTTAAAGCCGGTATTTTACGTGATCACTGGAGGTAATCAGATCAGAGGATTTGCAGTGTGTAAATCCAAGTTATGAGGAAGTGTAGGCACTCTCCCGTAATGAAATCTGCCTTGCTCTCTTCCATATTGTTATTCTACTGGTGTTTGTTTTCCAACACGCAGCTAAAGAATACATGTTGCTTTCTCCTCCTTTCTGCAGTTATCCATCTAAATACAAAGCAAGTTTAGAAATAGCTTCTCAACCTTCAGGGATATAAAAGTCTGTTTAACATACTTGAAGAAGCAACTAAGAATGTACCCATTCATTTGTAAACCCCAGTTTCAGAATGTTTGCAACATTTTTTTAATTTTTTATTCTTTTTACTGTTGATCCAGAGAATCAGTTTTAATAACTAAAACAGGTAACTAGGAAAGACAAATTCAGCATAGAACATGAGATCTCATCATGCTATCTAGGTATTTCCCCTGACTGATGCCATAGAAATGCCTTACCTTGTGTCAATTGACACACAGTTGTTGGTACATGTGTGCATTTTGTCTAGTATTTCCCATTATATGCTTTGTATGTATGTGTATGTGTCAGTCCTGGAGCTTGAACTCAGGACCAGGGTGTTGTCCTGAGCTTTTTTGCTCAAGACTAGCACACTACCACTTGGAGATAAGCGTCTGATTGACTTCCCTGCCCAGGCTAGTTTCAAACCACAGACCTCAGATCTCAGCCTCTTGAGTAGCTAGGATTACAAGCATGAGCCACCAACTGGCTTCTGGTTACATGCTTTTTAATAAAATTATTTTGTTGAACTTGTCTTTTTTTTTTTTGTCAGTTTTGGGGCCTGAACTCTGGGCCTGGGCACTGTCCCTCAGCTCTTCAGCTCAAGGCTAACGCTCTGCCACTTGAGCCATAGCACCACTTCTGGCTTTTTGTGCTTATGTGGTGCCGAGGAATTGAACCCAGGGCCTCATGCAGTGAGGCAAGCACTCTACCACTGAGCCACCTTCCCAGCCCTGAACTTGTCTTTTTTTCATTTTATGTTTTGTTAAGTTTTAACTCCTGAACATTTTCCTATTGGTATATTCTACAGATTATTAAAAAAAAATTTTTTTTAAGTTTGTCTGCCTTCAGTAATTCATTTTGGATGACTGATCAGCTAGGACTATGTCATGTGACTGTCCAGTGACACTTACTGGTGGTATGTGAGATTGCAGACTGCTTCTATTAAACATTGTAAATACTTAGGCCAAAAAAAAGAGCTAAGTTCTAGAGATTTCTAAGAATTGAAATTTGAGAGATAGTTATGGTAGTAGTAGTATCAAGGTATGAATAGAAGGTAATTGTAAATTTCAATAAATATTAAAATTTTCAGATAAGATATTAACAAAGCTATTGTATTCTGCAATATTGCACATCAGAGGGTATATTTACCCTCAACTTTATTATTGACTGCTTATATTTCTCCATATGGGGTGTGTGTGTGTGTGTGTGTGTGTGTAAAATCAGATACATTTCACTTTTATTTTTGGTACTACAGTTTGAACTCAAGGCTTTTTGTACTAGATAAACTGCTTGACCTATGCCTCTTGCCCTTTTTACTCTAGTTATTTTTGAAGTAAGGAATGAGATCCTCCTATTTATGCTTCCTACTGTAGCTAGGATGACAGGTGGATACTACCACACCCAGCTTTTTTCTGTTGAGATGGAATCTTGTAAACTTTTTTATACAGTCTGGCCTGAAACTGCTGTCCTTCCAATCTCAGTTGGATTGACAGGCACAGGCTTTTGCTTTATTAAAATACATATATAGGAGCTGGGCACTAGTGGCTCATGCCTGTAATCCTACTCAGGAAGCTGAGAATTAAGGATTACCATTTAAAACAAACCAAGCAGGAAAGTCTGTGAGAATCTTATCTCCAAGTAACCAGCAAAAAGCTAGCAGTGGATTTGTAGCTCAACTGGTAGAATGATAGCCTTGAGCACAAAAACTCAGGGACGGTGCCCAGGGCCTGAGTTGAAGTCCCAGGACTGGTACATACACATACACAAAATACATATGTAAACTGGGCTTGGTAATCCTAGCTACTTGAAATCTAAAATCTAAGGATTGAGGTTTGAAACCAGCTTGGGCAGAAAAGTCTGTGACTCTTATCTCCATTTAACCAGGAGAAAAGAGCTGGGCTGGAAGTGTAACTTAAGTGGCAGATTGCCTGTGATGAGCAAAAATGATCATCAAAATTGGGAGGTAGGCCGGGCATTGGTGACTCATGCCTATAATCCTAGCTACTCAGGAGGCTGAGTTCTGAGGATCGCAGTTCAAAGCCAGCAGGACAAGAAACTCGGTGAGACTCTTATCTCCAATAAGCTACTCAGAAAAAGCCAAAAGTAGCACTGTGGTTCAAGTGGTAGAATGCTAGCCTTAAGCACAAAGAGGCTCAGGGACAGTTCCCAAGCACTGAGTTCAAATCCCAGGACCAGCAGAGAGAGAGAAGAGAGAGAGGGAGAGGGAGAGGGAGGGAGGAAAAGTATCTCTTAAGTTCACTGAGGAAGAAAGATATAAATAGAAAATCTTGCAGCCTTTTAAAAATGTAAACTTATTTAAATTTTAAGTTTTAAACTTATTTATCTATTTATTGATTACTATAGGGACTTTTTGTCTTGTCTTTTTGTCTTCCCTGTATTGTTGAGTTTTGCTTAACATAAGCCTTTTCCTTCCTCTACTTTTTTTCCTCTCTCATTTCTGAACTGTGTGTTAGTTTTTGGCTGTTAGGATTTATTATAACTTCTGGCTTAGGCTCTGAAAACTTCTTTCACCTCAGTGGGAAAGTAAGTGTGAAACTTGGAACGTGGGGAACTTGCTAACTTCTTTTGAACTCAGGTTACTCATTCCATAGAAGAAATTAGAAAGGTACAACATGCTTCATTCCTTTACCTCTTTTGCATGTAAGAACTATGATCAGGTAAGAGTATTGTTCTGAAGTTATATTTAGTTTCCTTACAAATTTCTTGTACTATCAGGTAACAAGTAACTCTAGAATGGAATTTTACAAGATGTACTGTGACTGCTTTATGTTATATGAAATAGTGAAAATCTTGTAGAGAAGATAATTTGGTAACATTTAACTGCTCTTGAATTGTCATCAACTTTCTTATATCCCTTGAGAATAGATTAATTCTGAAATCACTTTGAGGTATTCAAGTTATTTGTAACCTATTTGTCATTGACTCCGTTGTTTTTTTTTCTTCCAGAAAATAGAATGCTAAAGAGGCTATGTAAGTCCCAGGAGGGATAATAAGGACTAAGATAATTTTTGGAAGGCATTATTTAAAACCTCCTACTAAGCCAGGCGCTGGTGGCTCACACCTGTAATCCTAGTTACTCAGGAGGCTGAGATCTGAGGATCGGGCATGGTTCAAAGCCAGCCTGGGCAGAAAACTCCATGAGACTCTTATCTCCAATAAACCACTAGAAAACTGGAAGTGGCACTGTGGCTCAGCGGTAGAGTGCTCACCTTGAGCTGAAAAGCACAGAGACAGTACCCAAGCCCAGAGTTCAAGCCCTACAACTGACAAAAAACAAAAACAAAACCCTCCTACTAGGGAAGTCTTAGAAAGCAGTAGTTTAGTTGAGTGGTGGAGGACTGTAATCCTAGCACTCAGCTAACTGAAGTAGGAGAAGTATTAGTTCAAAGCCAGTCTGAGCTATATAGTACAGGAGGAAAGAAAGAAAGAGAGAAAGAAAGAAAGAAGAGAGAGGGAAGGAGGGAAGGAAAGAAATAGGAAGGGGGAAGAGGGAAGGAGAGAAAGAAAGGAAGAAAGAAAGGAAGGAAGGAAGGAAAAAAGAAAAAGAAAAGAGGAAGGAAGGGAGGAAAAGAGGGAGGAGAGGGAGAGAAAGAAAGGGAGAAGGAGAAAAAAGAGCACAGACTTTACCCTATCTACCCCTAAATTCAGAAATCATCCTACAGTTTAGTATTGAGGGAAGGTAAAAGGAAAATTCACCTAAAATAGACTAGTAGATTATGCCCTCTACTATATAATCAAAACTGCCAGGCTTTCAATGGATACGTAAACATGTTTTGGTTGCTAGGTCTTTAATGGCTGTTATTTTTGGATTCTGTTCATGATCCACTTCCCAACAGTAAGTCTGATGTGACACAGCTGAGTTCTAAATATGCTGCATGTATTTAAAAAAAAAAAAAAAAACAACCACTGCTGAAGGTTGTGTTGTCTGCATTCTTATCTGTAAAAACAGGTGATTGAGTTTTTTAGCTCTCTTAATCCTATTCCTGATTGAGACTTTAGTTTCTCTTGAGGACTCACCACCCTAGTGAAGAGGAATTTGGGGAAAATAATATTCCTGCTAAAACCTCTCTAAGGAATAGAGTAGTAGGACTCTTTAATAGAGCTGCCTCCTGAGAATGGGTTAGTGTTGTTAAGGCAACAGCACCCCAGATACCCTGTTGGCAGAGTACTTCTGAATCAAGTTGTATGAGCTTTTGAAATGTTTATTAAGATAGCATCTATTTGAGTTGGGGGCTGTGGTACCTGCCTGTAATCCTAGCTATTCTGGGGTTGAAGGCAAGAGGATAACATGTTTGAGCCAAGCCTGAGCAACTTATCCTATCTCAAAAATTTAAAGGCAGGGGGGAAGGGAGGAAGGAGTTGGAAAGGGATGGTAGGGGAAAAATAAAGGAGGGTATAATGATGCTCAATAGGAAATGGACTCATTACATTGCTATGTAACTGTAACCTCTCTGTACAGTATCTTTACAATAAAAAAATATTAAGAACAGCAAAAAAATTTTTTTAAAGAGCTAGAATGTCGGGCACTGGTGGCTTATAACTGTAGTCCTAGCTACTCAGGAGGCTGAGATCTGAGGATTGTGATTTGAAGCCAGCCCAGGCAGAAAAGTCCGTGAGACTCATCTCCAAT